ATTTGACAGATTTCACGGTTGTATAAGCATGGAAATGTGTTTCAATGATATTTGGGGTTTTTAAGAACTAGAAATTTGGGGTTTTTTTTTAGAACTAGAAATTTATACACGCTATTGGGTTAAGTATGCTTTTTATCTGTAAATTTTAGTGTATGCAAGGAAATTTACAAAGCTGTGATTGATCATGTCTGTGAGGTAATGCATTTGCATATATTGTCGATGTGTTGCTTTGCTTTGAATGCTGAGCAGATTTATGATTATATTGTATTGTGTATTAACTTTGATAGTCTTGGATAGTTTTAAGTACATATTTGTGATAGATATAGTGATATCTTAGAAAAGGGTTGATTTTTCTTGTTGATAGAATGAGTATCTTAAAAATGAAAATTTCTATCTGATTTATGATGCATGTATTGAACATTGTGCAAATGGTTGTGGTTTTAGGAGTACACATGAAATAAATAACTTTATGCTTTATGCTTCAATATTTTGGATAGAATAAATCGTGACTAGATTTATTTGAGAGCTTATTAAATATGTAAATTTGTGACCATTTATTTGGAGGTTTAATCTATGACTTAGCATTGTTTTTTTGATTCTATATGCAAGTGCATGATGAGTTCTTGGTATCCCGATGTTCATTCCTTTGTATTATCTTGTTCTTTTCATAGATTAGTTCTTGTTATTGTAATTGCTAATGGTAAAGAAAGGAAAATGATGATAAGCCAAGTATGGGACTTGTATTATAACCTATAGGTTTAGTTGAAGAGTTTCATAACACTAGGTTATGGTCTAAAACTGACCGCCTTTTCCATTAAATAATAGCATGTCATTATTGTTTATCAATTATTCAGTTAAATTTTGCATATGTAACCTTGCGATTAACAAGATGACCACATGGGGTTCCAGTAATTATGGATCGTATCCCTCCAGAAGGAGGATATCCAAGAGGTCTTGAGGACCCTAGTTTGCTACAACTGAATACTGATCATTCATCCTATTATATTTGGGAAGGACATGTATATTCATATATTCATCTTCTCTTCCCATTAGTTCGTTATTTTTTAATAAATTGTAGTCTTTTTAAACATCATACGGGAAGTACATGTATATGTGTTGTGACCCATATATTGTCTATTTATTGTATTTCAGGAAAAACAAAGAAATAAGAATTGATGAAAAAACTCATCAATTAAACGATTGGCATCTAACCAATGAGCAAGTTCAATTAGTGAATAGGTACTCTATCTATTATCCGGTCAGGTCGAATAGACCATCCCTTGATCCTAGCCAATGCAAAGAGGTGGCATTATGAGACCAATTCTTTTCATTACAATGTTCAAATTGGTGAGATGACACCTACATTATTTAATGCTCACAAGATCTTGGGTCTGGCTGTGGATGACGATCATGTTATATGTCGTCCAATTAGTGACCTCCGAAAGTTTATAGAAAACCAATTGGGTGAAGTCCCCACTGGAGGTAACTTAGCAGTCATCAAGCACTCATAGTTGAAAGCCAAATTTCAACAATTGCCACCTGAGTTCTTAGGTACACCCGTGCCTACCTGATCTTCCTCATCAGTGTCACCATTTTCTCAGATTCATTGCAAGTAACAATGCCAACCAGGTATTTGAAATTCTTTGAGGATATTGAGGAAGCTAACATATATGCTTGGGGTGCTGCAGCCCTCGCTTTTCTATATCGTTTCCTCAGAAAGGCTTGTACTTTCAAGCGAAGACATTGTTGTGGTTCAACCACTCTCATGCACATAAATTATATTTTCATATCTTACATAAGCGTAATAGTTTAGACTAGTTTTAAAAAATAATTATAGTTTATCATATCTTGATATAATGCAGTGTTGGTCCTATGAGCATATTATGCATAGAGCTGCTTAGGTAGTTGCTAGCAGCTCTAGCTAATATTGACGATGATAGTGCTTATTAAACCCTATACTTTTCTGATCTTTGACAGTTGGGATGGTTGTATGTCACATGTGTACCACTGTGGATCTTGTACATTTCCATCTCAGTGCGTTCATGGGTAAATACTCAAGGTCTCAAGCCGTAATAGTATGGGAATTGTCATGGGGTGTAATTTTTCAACTAACACCGTGCAACCTTGACTCTTAGCCTGGCTGCTAAGGGTCAAGTTCAGCCTTCTACACACATCCTGAGTTAGGGACTTCATGCACACTCACACTAAGCACACACAACAAAAGGGTCTAAGGGCTAAGCCCATTTTATTAAGCTTTACAATTGCTTGTATATACTGCAACAGATGCCCCTTCAAGGTTCTGGGCCAGGGGCTTATATAGCCCCATTTATATCAGCTACACCAGTTTGAATCATCCTACATGTCGTAGCCAACCACACACTAGGGCCTGGTCTTGAGCAGCGGGCAGGCATGCATGCTGCCCACGTCCTGAGCGGTTACACCTTGAGGCATCTAGCCTCAGCCACGTCTTGGGGTGAGGCCTGGTTGACACACCACCACCGTCATGCACCGTAACTGCCGCCCCTCTTTATAGTCCACCTCTCAGCCGTTCTGCCATGTCCATGCCATTACACCACATCATCCACCCTGGTTCATTTGAATTTCGAACCTTGGCGCCTCCTAGCTCACAAGAGCCAACAAACCCCACGGACTGCTCTTGCCTTGCTGTGGTACGTAGGCTCTTGCACCTGTGCACCTTATGATGCCCTTGTCCACTGCTGCCCGCCACGTGGCCCAAGGCTCAAACCTTACGCTCAAGTATAGGTGGAGTCTTAAATCGCTCCGTTCTGAAATGCGTTCGCACCTAGCATCAAATTAGCATAACTTTGCCTGTTGCACACCTGAGGCTTGGTCATGCACCGGACTGGTGCGCAAGGCTAGCAGGGTAGCATCTAGGGCCAATAGAAGGGCCAGGCAAGGCTTCAAGCTGGCACCAAGGGAGGTTTGCCAATCTCCCCCTTAACCAAGGTGCATACAACCAGTAGGGGTCATGACAAGAATCCTCTAATCGAGATCTTCTTTTTTTTAATATTTATTTTAATAAACCATAAAGTTATAAGATGTGGCATCCACCACCTTGAATATCATGGTTTTAAAAAAACAGATTGGCGACTTGGATCGTCAACCCCAAAAATTATGTTGGATCGGTAGATCGGCATGTCGGAACGGAGAATCGGCCGAATTGGCAAGTTTCATCTCAAAATATTTTTAAAAGTTCACTATAAATATCTAAAAATAGTGTTCTTTTAGTTTCTAAAAGAAATTAGGAGTGTTGCATTATGTATTTTTATTAATTTGTAAAAGTAGATAAATACTGAGATGTTTTTCAGTCTGGATGTGTGTATAATTATTAATTATAAGATCGTATGATAACATTCAAAATAATTTAAAAATATTAGAAAGAACTTCCATATTATAAGATTAAAAAATAATTTCTCATATAAAGTGAAATTAATATCACATCTAAGTATCAAACATTTATTAATTCACTTTACTCATCCAAAATTATCACAACCTCACTAACTATAATATTATATATTGATCTTTAAATTGTTGGTTTATATTTTATAATTATTTTACTATACAAATAAAAATAAATCTAAAATATCTTCCAATATCATCTAATTTAAATTTTTTTATTTAAAGCTATAAGAAAAATAATATATTACGTAAGTTAGAATACAAACAAATTATTAAATAAAATAGAAGATTTGGTTATCAATGTATAATTATTATTAATAATATTATAATATTATAATATTATAATAAACATGATTAAAAAATTATTAGAATTAAAAAAAACATAATAATTTCTCAAAAATCTAGTTTTTTAGGTTTCTTAAAGAAATTATGTCAATTTCCATTATGGTTTTTAATTATTTTAGCGAAAGTGCGTCAATACTGAAAACCTATCTAATGGGTTTTTGGTGATCATTGCACTCATTTCACAGTAAATAATTTGTTGGCTTTTTAATATAAGAAATACCTTATTAAAAAAAAATAAAGCAATGCAGTGTATAAATAGTTCCTACTGAATCTCTTTGTTTTTTGCATTAATTCTCCTTTTATTATTTTACCTATTTAATGCTTTCTGCAATTTTTTTATGAGCCGAATGTTGGTGAGCCATGCCCATTATATCTCTTATGAAACTAAAAAAAAGACCTAGATAAATTGTCCACAAATAAATGTTTCACAATAGGATGATTTGGAGCATTATCGTAGTCATTACAAATGTTCTGAAATTTTTAGTTTTAAAAAAATCGCCGTGGAGCTTATACTTAAGTCTATTTGAATAAAGGAAAAAGTTTATGTAAAGATGCAACCTTATAATGTAAAACTACGGATGCACCTCAATATCCATTGGAAAAAATAGTTTTAATGTTGAAAAACCTTTTGATTGATCATCTCGACATCGAGATGTATGACCGTGAAAAATAAAAAGATTTTAAGTCTCAGAAATAGTGCATTTTACAACATATTATCTACACAGTCCATTTTCAAGATTTTCATATGTTTATAGATCTACTTGATTTTAACCGTTTTTGAATTTTAAAATTTTATAATTAGATATAAAAATAGATTTTGAGATAATCCTAAGTATATTTTACATAAAAATTATATAGCATATAAAATTTGAAGGTGCACCATATCTCTACAGCTACGGATGCATCCGTATGCCAACTGCACCCTTGAATAAATAGGCAAAAAAATAACCACACGAGGCACAAATGGAGTGCATTTTTAGAACCTTATAAAGTTCGGTCTTTTTTTGTTCACAAACAAATATCCCTCATCTTTGCATGTCAGGGGCCAAGCCCTTATAAAAGGCATAAAAGTTTGAAGTCCATGGAAGGTCTTTAATGGGATGCCATAAGAATATGCAATAAAGTAGCTTTAGAAAAAAAATCAACACAGATGTGGGACCACTTTTATGTAATAAAATATGCAATATAAAAATAATGGAAACAAATATAAAGTAGGACAAATGAAAATAAAAAGATAAATGAAAACAAAGCAAGCTGGCTCTGATATTATAAGATCTGGATTGACAGGACCGGTTCGGATCTGGATCACCGTTTTTTAAAGTATTTCTAAATACCATTCCTAAAACTATAATCCTCTCGTTACAAAGCAACCACATGCTTATTATAAAGCGAACACATGGATGGCTTAAATTTATTTACCTGAGGCACTTTAATCAGCAGAGCATCATCAAACTCACTCAGGCAGAGGAATATCATCATCTATTGGAGGAGAAAGATACCAGTCCCCACCTTCACCTCTCACCATTCCCTTGTTCTTCTCCATCCACCATGAAGCCGGCACCAAGCACTCATCCTTGAGGAAATCACAAGATTTATTCACTAGTGCCACACTGCGAGGCACCTTCAAGGAAAACCCCTTCTTTCCTTCCCATCCAGCCACCACATGGATCAAAGCTTGCAGGTTGTGCCAATCACTTGGGTTCAATGAATCCTTTAGATAAGGAGATGCTCTTGTGTCCACCACAAGGTCCACACCAGTTTTCTCATAGTCTAGGAACTTACCTGGATAGAGTGGGATGAGATCTATCGCATTCTTCACATGTAAAACCCTAAGGCTTGGGAGGCTCTTGACCCTGTCATTGAACTCTTTGTTCCCGACTCCGGGGCTGCCGAAAACAAAGGCGGTCACCGGAAATGGTGGCTTGCTGCCCACCATGTTCAACCCATTGGCCACCACATCAAAGGAACTCAGTATGGCTAGGCATGCACCAAGGCTATGCCCAACCATGGTTATGCTCAACTCCTCATCTTTGTACCTCTGAACAAGCTCCCTTATCTTGCTAAAGAGTTGGACCCTGGCACTTGTTTTGGTGAATGGAGATTTGGGGTCATCAGAGGTCTAGATTGTGTACCAACCGTCCATGACCTTAGGCTCATCGTCGTCCTCCCCCCTTCCTAGGAATCTCTCGAACCGATGTTTGAGGGGGCTATCATCGTCGAAGTCCTCGGAAGGGGGTAAAAGGGAGGCAATGGATTCGAGAGAGGGACTAAACACATTCATCCATTCCAAGTCCCGGATTGTCCCACGATAAGCGACCACTATGTCTCTCCTGCCCAGGTTCTGGCTAAAAGTATCGGACGATATCGCCACATAACCGATCCAATTGGATTCCCTACTCCAAGCCTCACGAGAGAGGGAGTGGAGCAAAAAGGATGCCGGAATATCGATCTTTGCAGTGCCGTAAAGGAAACCAGCGACTCGATAATCGGTGCCGGAGGCAGCATCAGATGATTCAGCAGTGTTGGACACATGAGGTGGTGCTAAGCCCACCTTTGTGAAGAAGGATCTCTTTCCACAGCGACTGCTGCCACAATACTTGGAGTGTGGATCACTGTTGAAGGCGTCGTAGGTGGCCTGGCAAAGGTCGCCATACCGCAGGATTATCTCTCGAAGGCCTTCATTGAGGGGCTCAAGCAGTCCTTCCCACTGCTTGCTTCCATGTAGCTCTTGCCATGCCTTCTCATGTGAACCCATGCTTTCTCTTGTCTTTTCACTGTTCTTTTCTTTTCGCTAAGGGGACTTGAAAGCCTTATCCCATAAGAGGGGCCTCAAGGTACGCATAAAAGGTTTTCACTTTTCTTTTCTTTTCTCTAAGGGGACTTGAAAGCCTTATCTCATATGAGAGGCCTCAGGGTACGCATAAAAGATAAGATCACTTGCACAATAAAGCTGAATGCAGTATGTGCAGTTTTTTCCTTTTTTTTTTTTTTTAATTAATTAATTAATTAATTTTTAAAATATATGCAGATTTAATAGTGACAGAATGGCCCCATCGTATTAGTGCATATTTTACACATTGGGATAAGGAAGTGGTGGATGGCCAAGAGTAAGGCTTGCCCCACCACCTTCATAATGCTGCACCTTTTTTAATCAATTTCAACCATGCATATTATTAGACCAAAAAAATCAATTTCCAGGGTTGCCCTTAAGAAGCTCCAAAGGGTAGCATAAAATGGTCGTGATCATGGGCAGTTGTGGTGTTAAGAGCTCTTACCATCAGGTAACCACCTCTATTTTCGGTTCTACTCTCTCTCTTACTTTCCTATTTTTATTGTACCTTGCCTAATGCTTTTTTTTTTTTTTGGGACAGATGTTCAAAACTTCTATTGATGACTAATTAAAAAAGATTACATTAAAGGAGATCAAAAGCAAAGGCCATGAAGCACCTCCCTTAGCCAAAGAGTCAGCAAGTGAGTTTGCTTCTCGGTAAACATGGGAGAAGGAAAATGAAAAACGTTCGACCAGGTCCATGATTTACAACCAAATAGAACGGAGCTCCCATGAAACCCGTTGTTCTTTTTTGCACTACTTAATCACATTCAAAGAATCTCCTTCAACCGAAATATTCGTTCTCAGATTCTTCTCAAACAAAAATTTCACCCTACACAAAAAAGCACTTAATTCAACATAATTTGTTGTTTTGACCCCAATCGGACCAGCAAAGGAGAGAATTATAGAACCCAAGGAATCATGTACTACACCACTAATTCCAGCAATACCTGGGTTTCCCAGAGAACTCCCATCAAAGTTAAGCTTAATACATCCAGCAGAAGGAGTAGTCCAAAAACATCGTGGTCTACTACGAGCATACCCAAGGAGAAAGAGGCTGCTAAGGTTTGCCATCACATCAGCTTTTGGAATCCCCCATCATTCTTTTGTCACAGACAACTATAACCAAATCGAGTGCTTGATGTTTGTTAAAAGTTTCTCAAAGGGTAGGGAGTTACCTTCAAAGGTTCTTGTATTCCTCTCCTTCTAGATTTCCCAAAGGATGACACCTTTAGAGATTTTCCAAATTAAGTTACCTATCACAGGAAAATGGGCGATAGAAAATTGAGAAACAATCCCTTCAACCGATTGAGGAAGCACCATATGAACCCCAAGGGTACCAAACAACTGGTTCCAAATTTGTGTTGTAAAAGAACAGTGAATAAGCAAGTATGCACCCAACTCCCCATCAGCTTTACACAGTAAACAGACATTGGGTAAGATTTTCCCCCTTTTTTATCAAGTTGTCAATGGTTAAAATCTTATTCAGAGATGCAAGCCAAATAAAATTGCCTAATGCTTTAACTTTGGAATTTTGATGAGATCCGGAGTGTTAGCGCTGATATGGTAACACCTTACAGTCTTTGTTTCATTTAGTAGTAAAGAGCAACAGTGCATTGTCGAGAAAAAACAAATAGTGTTGATAGTTATGCCTCGAATCCTTGTTTTATAGGATTAGTTCCCTTATCTTTTAGATTTTATATTTTTAGATAATTCTATATTGTTTTGGTACTCTTGTTTAGTTACTATTATAGGAGCTTCTCTTGAAATCCTATTTAGATTAGGATGGGGCTTGAGTCCTTATGGATAAAACATAAATTAGTATCCATAAAGTTAGGAAAAGTAGAGAGGAGGCCATCATGTATCATTTTATGGGGGATTACTTTTTCTATATATTGAGTGTATTGTAGAGAGAGAAAACATAATGAAAAGAAGGGGATCTTTTGGGTTTTTTGTACAAAGAGAAAATTGTAGAGAGAAGGCATTATAGGAGATTGGGTTTCTTCTCAAGTTCTCTCATATATGAGTTTCTTGTAATTTTCTCTCATTGATTAGTGGAAAAATATTGATCATCTTCTCCTGTGGATGTAGTCATATCTGTGACATATTATATAAATTCTGGTGTTCTTTTTTCTGTTATTTATTTTTTACTTTGTTTTTCTTGCTTGTTGCATATTCTATTTTTATCGTACTTTATTTGTTAAAAATCAACCCTTCGAGCTTTTTCACACAACAAGTTTTATCAGAGCCTGGTTTGGGGTTGTCGATATGGCGGTAATGGTCTCAAGTGCAAAGTTCAAGTTGGAGAAATTTAATGGCAAAAATAATTTTGAAGTTTGGCAAATCAATGTTCGGGATTTTCTAGTGCAACAAGGTCTACATAAAGCTCTGAAAGAAAAGTCGAAGAAACTGCAATCAATGTCAGATGATGATTGCGAAGACTTAGATCTGAGGGCTATGAGCACTATCTGATTGTGTTTATCGAGTGAAGTGCTATTTAATATCATCAATGAGGATTCACATCAATTATTTGGTCGAAGCTTGAGAGTTTGTATGTGACGAAGTCTCTCACAAATCGACTACTTTTTATGCAAATATTGTACAACTTTAAGCAAATATTGTACAACATGTGGATGAAGGAAGCTATCCAAGAGCACCTAAATCATTTTAATAAAATTCTTTGTAAATTATTGAATATTGGTATTAAAATGGATGATGACGAAAAGGCTACAATTTTATTGTCCTCACTCCCTCATTCGTATGAGTATCTTGTTACAACATTGCTTTATGGAAAAGATTCCATAGAGATATAGGATGTGACTTCAACTCTTCTCTCTAATGAATTGAGGGAGAGCCAAGATAATGCTCAGCCACATGCAAATGATTTAATCTGTTGAGAGAAGTGTAAAGGGACACGAAAGTCAGGGCAGCTCCAAATCCAAATCCAGATCAGGAAAATGTAACATTCATAGTTATTACTACAAGAAAAAGAGGCTTATTAAGAATGATTGTCAGAAACTCAAAGAGATAGAAAAACGAGCATTTGAAGCAGCCAATATAGTTGATAGAAGCTTGGTAAGTGGAACATATAATGTGTTGTCAGTATCGACTAATTGTGATAACTCTAAAAATTCATGGGTTTTTGATTCACGATGTTCTTATGATATGTGCCATCTTCGAGATTCGTGAACCACATACAAGGGCATTGATGGTGGATCAGTTTTGATAGGGAATGATGTAGCTTGCAAAAGCATTGGTGCTGAGACAATTATTATCAAGATGTATGATGGAGTTGTGAGAACATTGACTGATGTTAACATGTTCCAGATCTGAAGAAGAATCTTATCACTTTGGGATCCTTAGATGCTAATGGTTGCAGATTTTTTAAAGAAGGTGGAGTTCTAAAGGTTCTAAATGGTGTTTTGGTTATGATGAAAGACAAGAAGATCGGACCGAATTTATATCTATTGCTTGGGACTACGATCACAAATAGAGCAGTAGTTTTCGTATCTGATATTAGTTGCTTGGGAATACGATCACAAATAGAGCAGCAGTTTTAGTATATGATATTGATGATTATGACTTGACTCAGTTGTGGCATATGCGGTTAGGCCACATGGGTAAGAGAGCTTTGGCGGAACTTAGCAAATGTCAATTGATCAATGGTCTGGAGAAGTGTAAGTTGGACTTCTGTGAGCACATTGTCTATAATAAGACATGTAGGGTGCAGTTTCACACATCAAAACCTGCCACAAAAGACATGCTTGACTATGTTGATTCGGATTTATGGGGCCCTACATTAGGTGCCTCAAAGGCGAATCTTTGTACTTGTTTCCTGCATAGATTGTTTCTCAAAGATGGTATGGATCTAAACATTAAAGAAAAAGACAGATGTATTTAACAAATTCGAGCATTGGAAAGTTATTGTCGAAAGACAGACTGGAAAGAAGGTCAAGTGCTTGAGGATTGATAATGATGGAGAGTACACTTCAATGGAGTTTGTGAATTTTTGCAAGAGCATATGAATTGTTTGTCACTTCACCACTCCGAGGACACTGCAACATAATGGAGTTGTTGAGCACATGAACATGATATGCTGGAGGAGATCTGCAACATGTTGAGTAATGCTAGTTTGTGAAAGGAATTTTGAATAGAAGCGGTCAATATGGTGTGTTACCTCATCAACAGGTCACCATCCACAATAATAAACGATAAAAAACCACAAGATGTTTGGTCTGGTAAACGTGTTGATTATTCTCATTTAAGAAGTTTTGTTGTCCTGCTTATGTTCATGTGAAAGATGATTAGTTAAGTCCCAGATCAAAGAAGTATAATTTCCTTGGTAATGTAGACGAAGTTAAGGGCTATAGAATGTGGTGCGCAGATCCTAAGTCGCTTAAGTTTATTATCAGTTATGATGTTAAATTTGATGAGTTTGCCATGTTAAAGACATTTAGAAAAGTGCGGAAAAAGAAAACTGCAGCAGTAGCGATGCAGTTGAGGTGGAATTAACAATTCTAAAAAATACTCCAAAATATGTGCTAGAAAGTCCTTGTGAAAGAGTAGAAGAAGATGTTGACCATGAGGAGGTCTTTAAGCCTACTCCACGTAAGGAAGAGTCTCAACTTAGAAAGGAAATGAGAATAAAATAGCTAGTGGTGCCGTATGATTTTGAGGGATAGCTTATGCATTGGCTACCACAAGCCAAGAACCATCGACTTTTAAGGAAGCTACACAGGATAGTGACAATAGCAGGTTGAATGATGCCATGGATGAAGAAATGAAGTCTTTTCAAAAGAACGTACTTGGGATCTCATGAAGTTGCCTAAAGGTAAGAGAGCCATTGGATGTAAATGGGCTTATAAGAAGAAAGATGGGTCATTTGAGATTGGTGGTAATCGGTTTAGACACGTTTGGTTGCAAAATGCTAAGGGCAGAAATAAGGTATTGACTAGAATGAGATGTTCTTTCAAGTTGTGAAACACACTTTTAGTCGGGTATTGCTAGCCATGATTGCATTACTTGATTTGGAGTTAGAGCAACTTGATGTCAAGACTGCATTCCTTCATGGAGAATTAGAAGAACAAATTTATATA